AGGAGAAGAAGAGGAGGAGGGGGAGGGGAGGGGAGAGGAGAGGAAAAAGGAAGAGGAGGAGGAGGAGGAGGCGGCTGGAGAAGTAGGGGTAAGAGGAGGAGAAGGAGGGAGGAGGGGAGGAGAGGAGGAGGAGGGAGAAGGAGAAGAACAGGGAGGGGGAGAGGGTGAAGGAGGAGGAGGGGGAGGAGAAAGAGCAAGAGGAGGAGAAGAAGGTGGCGGAGGAAGAAGAGGAGGAGGAGGGTGAAGGAGGATGAAGAGGAGGAGGAGGAAAAAGAGGAGGCGGGAGGAGGAGGGAGAAGGAGGGGGAGGAAGAGGAGGAGGGAGAAGGAGGGGGAGGAAGAGAAAGAGTGGGTAGGAGGAGGAGAGGGAGGGTGAAGAGAACAAGAGAGAGCATGCAGTATAACCCTGGTGATAGCAAGAAATGGTAAGAAACAATAACAGAAGTGATGTCAGTTATCAGAACCTGGAGACGAGTAAGAGACAGTGGAGATGCAGAGCACTTCCTAGCCCATAGAGATGGAAACTGGGTGCCTTTGGGCAGGAAGCTTCCTGGCAGAACCAAGTGCCTCCAGACACTCGATAGAGTTTTGCTCACCTGTGGAAAAAGAGAGCTGAGTGACTTTAGGCCAAGGTTTCCTAGTGGAGTAAGTTCCTCGTACTGGGTTAGTCACTCACTCAGTCCAAATCAATTTGGAGCTTAACTGCAGAGTCAAAATCAACTCATAGCTTATCCTCCAGAAGATTTTCAGAGACTATGAATCTCATGACTGGAGATTGCCCATCTTTATTTCTGCAGAGCCACTGGTGGACTTGAACCACCAGAGAGGTACTCTTCGGATTGACAGCACAACTCCTTGTGCTCCACCACAGCTCACTTTCAGGTGCAGCTAAGAGTCTATAAGATGTACCTGAGCCAGGCAAATCCATGAGGCCAGAAGAAGGAACTCTTGGCTGAGAGGCACACTTGTGGGCAGAGCTGAGAAGAAACGGTCCAGATTGAAGAACTCTTTCCAGTCAATCCTGAATTGTAGTATGTTACTTTCCCTAGCAATCACCATAACTATGAATATGGTCTGTGAGTTCTGTGTGGCCATTGCAACAAATCAGCAAACAAATTACCAGAGGAGAGAGTGCCTTGGGAGGGACAGCTGGTGTCAGGAAAGGTCGAAGGGTGGAGAAATGTCTCCCCTCCACCTCATAGAAATCAGCTTCATTTCTGTACATGTACATCTGAATAGCTTCTCCTATGTCAGTCTGCCCCCCCTTAGTCTTCCTTCTTCTACAGGATAAATCCCTGAGGGATGAAGAAGAGACACCCCGTGAAGGGAGCTTAGCACCCCTTTGGGCCCTAACAGCTTTTCCTGGGTGCCTGAGTACCACCATTGACTTTCTCCATCCTCACACCTCCCCAAGGTATCAGCCTCACTCCAGGAGCTAAGAGCTTCTCCTTAGCAACATTTGCAAGCACTGAAACTTCAGAAGAGTTAACATTTTTTTATAAGTTTCTAAGGTATACTGATATCTGAACCGCAGTTCCATTAACAGATTTCTAACAGGCATTTGGGAGTTAGTATTATTTTTCAAGCTCCACAGGAAATTTCTAAAGTATAGGCAA